GGGGGGGGGGGGGGGGGGGGGGGGGGGGGGGGGGGGGGGGGGGGGGGGGGGGGGGGGGGGGGGGGGGGGGGGGGGGGTTTGCATTTTTCAGAGTGATACTTGTCAGTTATGCTCTTTGAGATATTTAGCTGCATATATTCCGTGATTGATGATTTTGGTTTTTTTTAGCTATTCATTTGTTTGCCCTTTTGTCTATTCATTCATCTATCTTTGATAATTTATGTTTTGCCTAGATTTGCAACTGGAAGTGAGTAACTTGACATTGAATGGTATACCAATAGGGAAAGACTCCAAAGATGTTACTGTATTCCAACACAAGACAGGCAAGTCTTTTGGGCAGGAGGAGGGGGTGGATTTAGATGGGGGGAGCAATGCTTCTTTTTTTTCTTGTATTGTTGGAAAAAAAAGTGACCAACCATCTTTGGAGCAAATTTTTCATTTTGTTTTGGGAGGGGTGTCCTGCGGACCCAGGATGTTTGAAAGGTGGATAATGCTATCCACACAGCTGATAACGTAGTTTGTTTTGTTAACACAGTCTTTAATTTTTCCAGTTGATAGTGATTTATCTGGTGGATGGCATTATCCAGTCTTTTAACAGCTGGGGCTGGAATGCTATCTGGAAGTTTCCTTTCCCGTGATCATGGGAAATTGTTTGTTTGTTTGTTTGTTTGTTTGTTTGTTTGTTACAATTAATTGTATTTACCCAATGAGCATGATTTCACGGCCATCATTTTGTTTCCTCATGACAGGAACCTTCAAGGTCAAAGCAGGACTGGCACAGATGGCTAAAGGAGGAATTATAATGGACGTCACTACAGCAGAAGAAGCAAGAGTAGCTGAAAATGCAGGGGTTAGTTTGGCCACTAGGCAACTTGATAAAAGTCTTTATGTGTGCAAAACTGCGTGAGTTTTTTTCAAGTTGTGTAGATGTAGCCCTGAGTTAAAAAGGGTTTATAGTGCTACATGTAACTGTTAGCCAAGTACTGATTGTTGTGGTGGATGAATGCCATATCAGAAGTGTCTGAGTCCATGTAACTCCTGTCTAGGAGACTTTATCAATGGCTTTTCCATTGGGCTTGTGCACTAACATCTTTTGGGCTTTCAGGTGGTAGATGAAATAAGCTCATTAAAGAAAGTCCTTGAGCTAGCACACAAAGCCTTCAACTTAACCTGAATATCACCTCAATTACATTTGATTAAATTATTAACTGAACACTGACATTGTCGTTTTATGTTATTACAGGCCTGTGCTGTGATGTCCTTGGAAAGAGTTCCAGCTGACATTCGTAAACAGGGTGGGGTAGCAAGAATGACTGATCCCAAGGTACAGTGGATTTAGTTGCGAATTGCAATCATTTTGAAACTTCAGATCAATGTACTGCCTTAGTTAGCATACTGTATGACATCTCAATCCTAAATTCTGCTGCAAGCTCAAACGTGATGCAATCTTCTAACCCCTTCTACCCAAGAGCTTCAATATTTATAACTTGTCATAATCCTGTTGTGCATAATTTTTAGAGGACGAAAGAAATCATGAAGGCAGTCACAATCCCTGTGATGGCTAAAGCCAGGATTGGACACTTTGCCGAGGCACAGATCTTGGAGGCAATTGGAGTGGACATGATTGACGAATCAGAAGGTAAAGTATAAAGTATTCTCCATTTGGGGCAGAAATGTGCTCAGATATTTGCCACGGCCATTATCTGTTCTGAGAAGCAAACAGTTTTCCGCGAGCATAGCTCGAAGAAAACTGTGAGCTTTGAGAAACAGGTAATGTCCAAAGACAAATATCCCAGCATATTTCTGCTCCAAATTGAGCCTACTGCGTGTTTATTATCCTCGAAAAAATTTTCACAACACCTGCAGTTTTGAAAATTGGGGAACATCACTCAGATGTTACCCAGTTTTAGTAGGGGCAAATCATGTGACACGTTTAGACCAATCGTACATGAGCGGAAATATTTGATGGATTATAAGTTGTGGTATTCTGTCAAGGTGATCACACAGGCACAAAAGGTCGAAGGGTAATGATTAGGAGGAATTGACCTTTAAAAGGTGAATATTCCAGCTAAGGTAAAGACCATTAACTCAGATTTACATGTAACATCACAGCTGTGGTTTCCTTTTATTTATTTAGTAACATACTCATTCAAGTGGCTTCCAATTCAGTCAGTCTAGTAAGTCTCCTGAGGCTTTTAGATCAACCATCTGTATGTTGCAACTTTGTTCTTTATGAGCCAGCTAGATCTAATTCATCAGAAGGAAATATGTGATGTCACCTGTATAACACCCTGTTTGTTCCTGATATGTTGAATGAATGTTTATTCCAACAGTGTTGACTCCTGCTGATGAGTCGCACCACATTGACAAACACAAGTTTACAGTGCCCTTTGTTTGTGGAGCAAGAGACCTAGGAGAAGCTCTGAGAAGGATTAGTGAGGGAGCAGCTATGATTAGGACTAAAGGACAAGCAGGAACAGGTGAGGACAACATTTCATAATACAGTCAACAATCTCATTATAGCGGACACGCTCAGTGATGTCGTTAAGTGTCTGTAATAGCGAGAGTCCGTAATAGCGGGGTGTGAGATAAAAAGTGCCCTTAACACGTAGTAAATAACATGTCAATGTCTGTGAAGTTATTTTAAATCTTTTTTATGCATTGAATGTGTCACTTAAAGTAAACATTCCAGAAGTCTTTTGAAGCAGACTGTAATTTTATATAATTATGTTATATGAGAAGTATGTGGTGTATGCTTTATCGAGAGTCAAAACAATAAACTTATCATTTTGGTACCACGAAAGTGTCTGTAATTCCATAGTGAGAGTCCGTAATGGCGGGAGTCATTTCCAGTCAATCCTCTATAGCTTTCACGGGGGATCTGGATTTTGTCCAATAACAAGTGTCCATAATTGCGGGGTGTCCGCAAGGTGAGTTGACTGTACATGCAGGCCCATTCGCTCAAGAGATAGAGTTATCCAGTGGAAAGCAGAGTTTGTTTTGTCAATACTTATTCACTTGATAGCGATTCATTTCTTTGCATGGTATTGTCCACCCAATGCACAACTGAGTCCAACTGAACTCTGCTAACGGACACTGCTGTGGGTGGACACTTCCCATAGGCAGATGCTTAGCCATGGTCCAGGCCACACACTTGTAAATCTTACACTTTTAACTTCCCATGAGTGGACATATGATTGTACTAAGTGGACACTTCAACAGTTTCCTACTGGGTATCGGCTTTAGGAGGTGAAACCGTATTCAAGTATTATATCAACATGTTAGAGTCGTATCAGGGGTTCAACTTTCAATTTAAGTCAGATTGTCAAACATTTTGCCAAGTAAAAGTTAAGTTCCATTAGGTGTTACGATATGATTTATAATATTATGCTTGCTGTACTTTTTACCAGTTTCTGCAGACATATTACGTGCACTTGATTCAATATGGACTTAGACTCAGGGACTTTGAATAACCTTTTCTGAAAGATGCATGTCCCTCAAGCTTACCAGCTTACCTGTTGAGGGTCTTGAGCATTTTTAAGAGCAACTTCTTAAGTTGTACTGAGAATTAAATAAAACACCTCGATCGTCTTACTCATAGGTGATGTTGCTGAAGCTGTTCGCCATGCAAGAACCATCCGCAATCAAATTCGTCATGCACAGTCATTAGACTCAGCTGAACTATTCTCCTATGCAAAAGAGTTGAGGGTTCCATTTGAGCTTCTTCAAAAGACCGCTGAGATGGGACGCCTACCAGTTGTAAACTTTGCTGCTGGAGGTCTGGGTAAGTACATGTACATGTATTGTTTCAGTTTCTACACGTGTAACCAGTAAATATGATGACTGTAATCTTACAAACTACATTTACACATATTTTGCAGACCTACTTTTGCTATATTTTCTTTGGTTTGAGGATAATAAATTCTACTCCTGTTTAGTTCAACTTAAGGACGTTCACGCTAATTGTTTCTGCGCATCCTTACTGCACACGCTAATTCATATGCCACATCATGCACGAGAGCATGCTAAGTAATAAAATGAACAATGATGGGGCTGGTGCCACTGCTATAATAGCTTTGCGTGGATTTAATGATCTTGGACATTCAGTGACCCCTATTTCTCTTTTGATGGATCATTTTCCCTGCCGATTTTCTATGTTTAGAGAAAAAATGAAGAAAATCTATCAACTAGAAGTTTGAATTTTTTGCAAATGCACCATCAAATTCTGTTCTTCTTAGCTCTTTGTTTGTCTGTGCAACGGTTTCAAATGCTTCTCGACAGCCGGTTAAATTTTATGAAAGTGTAGGTAACATTTGGAATTATTTGCACAGCAGACCCACTTCAGTCTACAAAATATGACTGAGATCGTTTGCCTCCATTGACTCACCTTCGATATTTTTAACTATAAACCCCTGTAGACCATGCTGAATTATGTGCACCAATCTTTCAAAATTAGGGTAGTTTTCCACACGCTTTATCTCATAGAAGTTGGTGACCCCCAATTTTTTTTTTTGCATTTCTGACACGAGTAACTCATTGTATGACTGCAGTAAAAATTTTAAAACAATCTACCGACTGGAAAGTTTTCATGCGAACATACTTAAACAGACTACTACTGGTGTATTCATCATAACCCCTATAGTATCTGATTAGATTTTGCTTGATTATGAAATTTTGTATTAAAGTTACAAACTATCAGATCTCTGAAAAGCTACAGTGTACATCATGAGTGCAGACATTTTTGGGTCAAAACTTCACACTGTATTGTGTAAGATGTCTCTTCCTTGGTGATGAATGAGACGTCAGAGAGATGCCAAGGAGATGCCTGTAATCTAAGGCTAGCCCTCGACACGCCAGCTGACAGAGCTTTATCTTTAAAATACTTAAAGCCCAGTGAATGTCTTAACCCTTGATTGTTCTTTTAGCCACACCTGCTGATGTAGCACTACTGATGCAGCTTGGGGTGGACGGCGTCTTTGTTGGTTCAGGAATCTTCAAGAGCGACAACCCCAAGAAAAGGGCATGGGCAATGGCTCAGGCTGTCACTCATTACAACAACCCTAAGAAGCTTGCAGAACTCAGCGAGGATTTGGGAGAGGCCATGTTTGGAACACCTGTTTCTGATGTCAAGCACAAGTTTCAATAAGCTTTATTGGGAAGTAACTATTATAGGGACACAAGAGCAAGCTGTAGTCCTGTAGTGTTTACACATGTACAAGCAACAATACGAGAGGATCCTGAGTACATCATATGAAAAACTCCAGTGTTATTATTTATGTAATATTTGATCATATTTTCATTTTACAGGATATTTTTACTTTTTAGTAGGTTAGAAATCCCAGAAACTTAGATTCAAAACTTTAATGTTTGAGGGATTTTTGTGCTAGTGATAAGTAATGAAAAAATATTTTTTGGTTCAACTGGTACGAAGCTGCGTGGCATGTTCTAAGTTACTGGGCAGTGAATGTGAACTATTTTCTACTCTCCCAGGCATTGGACGTGCCTTGTTAAGTACCAACAAAGAACAAAATTTCATTAACTAAGTTATAATTTTACTAGTGTCCATGGTCATATGTTTATGAATCCTTTGCAAACAAGACTTTGTCATCAGTTGACTTACAGTCAATGATGTATTAACAGAGATCAAGCATGGATCTATAACAATAGAGTGAAAGATAATGCTAGCTTTACAAGTGGCCTGTTATTCCACGTGAAAATACCAAAACAGTCCTATTATTATACACCTTCACAGGAATTAGAAAGTAATTTACTTGGATACCAAAGTAATGATATGCAACAGTTAGGTAATATTATTATAACTGAGGGTATTTAACCATACATCAGACTCAATAAAACAGTTCTTCTCTTCTACAAATCATGCGTTATGCCTACTATTTTTCATGAGGTTGTCTTTTACTGTCTGCATTTGAAATTTTCTGATGATGATATCCATTTTTTCCCTGAGTTCTTGCATGGCTTCATGGATAAGATATTGTGAGGAGAAACAAGATTCTGATCAATATTAGGGATGAAAAGGTTGAAGCCTGTGAAATTTGAGTTAAATCTATTTGCACCATACTATGTATGTAACTTGAAAACTGGCTTTTGTTTATGGTAAGACTTAAGGATTAATGTTCTCTTACATTAATTGCATAATGATTGAAGAATGAATGCAATTGTTCAGAAATATCCATTTTGTAATGGACTCGAGTTGGTTGATTCAAATGAAAGAAATTCACAATGAATGGTAGAAAAATGGAGGACTCTCAAGAAAACATGGTTATTGCACTTTATTCGCGATCTGAATCAGTAGAAACTGGTTTATTTCCTGCAAAAAATTGCAATCACAGAAGTTAATTTTCTCAATAACGGGTTTGTGTGGACTTTGTTATGATCAAAATGAACAGGTACTTTATCTGGTCATGTTAACTACATTGAGACACACCACAAGAATCATAAACGGACAACTGAAGATAAATATATATACTTTTATTATTTTTAAGGATTTTGTGAATAACCAATCTTTAAATACTATAAATTTAACATAATTAAAGGTGCTGGTATTTGACTATGAAAATATAAATCTTCAATATATAATTCAACGACTAAACTTGCTTTGAAGTTGCTTGTATGGTTGGTGTTTCTTTTTTCTTTTCTTTTTTTTTTCAAAAAAAAATACTCTAATTAGATCATTCTGTATTACAGGCATTTAAAAGTAATGTTAGTGTTCCAATTTTACTCAATAATTCTGTGAATTTTTTTTTATTTTTTCATGTCATGAAGATAAACTTGTAAACATTATGGAGTAACTCAAAGTAATTGTTATCTCCATTGTGACAAACTATTTTAGTCCCTTCTACTTACTATATAATAATAAGTGCTATGTATTTTACAATGACGATAATGGTATTTTATACCAAAAAATGACAGCTCTATATTTACAAAAGTGTGCATGCAGTCAAGTATTTTTTTCCTATTATTACACCTTAGAAAGGACTTGAAATCTGTCTAAAGAAGTCATTACACTTAAATTAGGCATTGTGGCAATGTAAATTATGTGTTAGTAGTTCATTTGTGACTGAATAGTCTCAGCTGTTTTGTTTAATTTAATATTGTCTCCACATGCACATTCGGTACACATTTTCCCTTCATAAGTAAAATTTCTGATCTTGCCTGTGACATTATCTAAAATGTATAATTATGTTAAATGTGTACTCCTGCATATAATTTTCATCAATTAAAATTTCTAAATTTCACGCACGTTAACTTAACCCAAGGAATTCTTCAAATTTGCTTTAAAAAGTTGTGTCAGTGACTACTTTTCAAAACAATTAACAATTCTTTGTTCAAGTTATCTTAACGAAGAAATGTGGTCAATTCAATTTGTTATATGGTTACTTTACACTGCAGCTACTGCAGCAGAGTTCTTGTTGAGAAAACTGGCAAAGTAAACCTTTTTAGTAAGCATGGAAAGCTGACATGAAATCTGCTTGCTTCCTCCTTCTGTGTAAAACTCGCTCATGGCCTTGTTCACTCGGGTCAGCATAGTCATCAGGTCTTCTTTGTGAGAATTTGCTCGCAAAACCTGCACCAAACAAGAGATGAACCACGAGCCCAGACTCTCCCCATAGGCTGCTGCAGTCCTTGCACTGTCTATAAATCTTCTGTGGGATACATAGCCCTTGGTGGTTGAGTAGGCAATCAAAAAGTCTGCATCCGATGGCAGTTTTACAGGCATCTCCTGGAAATGATCAGAATCTGCATAAACATCTTGAGACCTTGGTCCTCTTGGTACATAATACCCTTTGTCATCAACATCTCCTCTGCATGCTTGAAGGAAGAACAGTTTAGGCTTGGTCACTAGCTGGGGGCACTGATCCCCACCTTGAAATTTTGCAGTTATGTCATCAACTGGTATGGCTTGACTGTCTATTCCCAGGATACCCTCTTCATTTCCATGACTCATAATAATGCAGATGAAACTGTCATGTTCAGCTAAAACAGCACCATAAAGAATATCATAAGATTCAATATCAACAAAACTAACGAGTGATTCGAATTGAGAACCCCTTTGAATCAGATCCAAACTTTGAATGCAGGGGGGGGGGGGGGGGG